ACCCATTGGGCTCCCACCTGCTCTCTTCCCCCTCTCCTTGCCCCCCCCACCCTCCTTTTATTTTTTTATTTTTTTAGATCTTGCTTGGGATCTCCTGCCCCCCCCCTCCCCACAGCCCCCACCAGAGAAAACCCTACTGATGGTGTGAATCGGGAGGAGAAGGTAAGTAATTTAAAATTGGGGGGGGGGGGAACGTTTGGCTTGATGGCTTTTGTTTAAAGGCTCCTTGTCTCCCCTCTTTTTATGTAGGAAAGGGTGAGAAAAAGAGGGAGGAGGAAAAAGGGTTTTGTTTGTGTGCACAGAGGCCCTGGTTATACTTAGAGCTTATTTATACGTATACATACACACACACACATATGTAAAAGTGTATAAAACTAAACGTTTTTTGTCTTTGAAATGTCATAGAGAGAGGCAGTGCAGCTGTAACCGACTACAGCTTTTAGATTTGGGGTGCTTTTTATCTCTCCCTTCTTGCCCCCCTCTGGACAGCCTCTGTAGGACTCTTGTTTCCGTCTCTATTAGGAACCAGAGATTTCTTTCAAAATGGGTACCCATGAACATGGAAAAAGAGGTTAATATTGCTATTGGCTTCTCTTCCACGAAAGGTTTACATTTTGCCAAATGTGAGGTTGTGACTATTAAGGAAAGATAAATCAACAATATCCTTATGAGTGCATCTTTGGAACAGACCTCAGAAAAGAATACTTGTCTTGTCTTAAGTAAAGTATGGGGCATCTCAAAGTTGTTTTCTTTCTCCTTTCCTTTAAAAAAAAAAAAAGTTAATAATTTAATAATCCTGTTTAATAATCCTGAGTAGTGGAAGACAAACCTAGTTATGAATTGTGGAGAGGGAAGAATTTAACCTGTGCCCTATTTGGAAATTGCCTGCATATACAAAGCTCTGGTTGCATTAAGGGAAATACATTTTATCGTGGTGAAGATGTTTTATTTTTATTTTTTTTAAAAAAGAACATAATCTCTTGACCAGGAAATCTTTGCATGCCTGTTAAATGTATGTATCCGAATTGCATTGCTCCTGTCTTCATTGGCTTCCTCTTTTTAAAGTTGAAAAGATTTTTTTGGGGGTGGGGAAAAAAAAGGTCAGAAAAAGTGCATTCTGCTTCTAAAAAGCTGGCTGTGAAAAAACAAAAACAAAAAGTGATTCATCCATTCATTGAAGCATGTGGTTGAGTTTATTTTTGAACACGAGCTTGCTTTTGGTTTTAATTTGACTGACTGGCTTAGCCTGTGAACAGCTATCTCCCTTGACATTATATAACGATGGCAATTTTACAAAGTGTTTGGCTCTATTTCTGATCTATTTCGCTGGTGCCAGAATTATTTTCGACATGATATAAATATTGTGCTTCTGTTTTTAAAAATGTATGTCAGGACTTAGCATGCTTTTTTTATACCTCTAATAATAATAAAAAAGCAAACTGACCCTAAAATGAGCTGTGTACCATAACCAGCATTATTTGTTCAGCTAGTGTGAATGTAACTGAATTGTAGGATTACAGTGTAATGCTACCTGTGCTGACACTTAATTTCAGCTGCTAAGGCAGGTGCTAAATATATTTCATTTCATTCATTCTGATGTGTTTGATGTGCTTTTGTATTCTTAAACTCTGCTAAGGCATATAAAACCTATTAAAATGTGTTACTGTATTTTTAAACTGTTTTCCACAAATACAGGGTACTAGAAGGATGCAAGGGGAGGGAGTTTTTATATATGATTGTTTTTGTTTTGTGTCTAAAGTTTGTCTGATAATTTATTTGCCACCTTTTTGCATTGATGTTCTGATCTGAGAGAGCCGCCATGCTAAATTTGTTGGTTGCTGAGGAGTGGAAAATAAAGAGACACCCCTTGTGGCTAGGGTGGGAGGTCATTGTTTGTTCACTCATAATTGGCCCATACTTGTACTGCTGTACCCGTTGCCTTTTTACAGGGCTCATTCAGGTGAGACGTATGCGGGGGTGGGGGGTGGGTGGGAAATCACAAAAGGCTCTTTTTTTCATTCATAGATCTGACTCCTCCTCTTCTTTCAAAGCGTGACTTTATTTCGGAGGTAAGAATGGACAGGTGACCCTCGACCACAACGGAGTCCAAAATCTCCATTGCTGAGCAAGACAGTTGTTAAGTGAGTTTATGACCATTCTTGCCACACTTGTTAAGTGAATCGCTTGGTCATAAAGCGAATCTGGCTTCCCCCCATTGGCTTTCCTTGTCAGCACCTGGGCGGGAACTGATCACGTGAACCCCCCCCCCCCCCAGAACAGTGCAACTGTCTTAAATACAGGCCAGTTGCCCAAGCGCTGATGCGGCCCTGATTTGTAAGTGTGAAAAACAGGCCCGAGTCACTATTTTCAGTGCTGCTGTAACTTCGAACGGCCACCAAGTGGATGGTTGTAAGTGGAGGAGTCCTTGCAGTAACTTTTACACTTCCAGAGGTGAAGGACTGTCTCTTCACCCTAGCCTCCTAGCCCCAAATATTTTTATTTCGATAAGGGATGGTAAGCTACTCGCCATGTGAGAGTAGGCGGCAATATAATTTTTTTAAATAAATAAAAATAAATACCTGTTTTGCGGGATATAGCCAAGGGGTCTCTGAGGCTAGGTAGTGGTGAAGGTGCTCTGTTAGTTAAACCACTCCCCCCCCTTCCCCGAAACTGGGATCCTCAGACATTCTAGACAATTCTCCAGACTTGACTGGAAAGACGCTGGAACTTTGTAGGACAATAGATTTATAGGTTATGTGCACAGCCTTGCTTTAGATGAACGGATAATCAGGTCAGACTATCAGGCAATATCCTGTTTTTGCCAGTGCGAGGTGGAGATTGGCACACACTGAAATTGCTCTATTTT